ACGAGAAACGACTTGGAGCCGTTTGGCGACAGGGGGGGGGGGGTATTTTGCACTTTTGGTATTTCCCATCGACGTGTCGACCCATCTAGACTCTTCTCGAGTTGACAGTTTTACCATGATGGCTTGACGAGCTTGCTCCAGCTTCACAAGAGTTCACAGGTTTACCAGAGTGAGACTTGTAAACCGGAACTAGTGAAGCAACGAAAGTGCAAAATGCCCCCCCCCCGTCGCCGAACTGTGCCACCAGACTTTAGCGTGCATGAACAAAGGCAAAAGTAAACAAAAAACTCTAGCACCCTCACATCGGTGTCTTTAGCAAGAAGTGTCCCTTACCAGTTATTGCCGTAACCACCACAGCCATTATTTGAAGCGTTTTGACATCTCAAGTTCGAGAAATCCTTGACATTCCACCACTGATACTCAGCCTTGGCAAAAAACGAGTTACCGATCGCGTCCGAATCGTCCTTGACCTGAAATTTGTTACTGCCTTTCAATGTGGATGGATTGGAGCTTCTTGGGGTGATGCAGGGTTCCGTTGTGAAAGCGGTCGAGAGAGAGCAAGTTCTAAGGGATGATGGAGACAGGGTACAGCATCGTTGTGTGAAATATACGGGGGAGGTCGTATTTGTTCGTTGTTGAGAAGAGGGCGGGGTCGTATGTGGCTTTGAGAGGAGTTTGCCGCGTCCGGAAAAAAATTTCCCGGTCGTTGACTTTTCGTGATTTTTCCCGCTTTGTATATACTACATATATACCCCCTTCCGCTCGAGGAAAAATCTCGGTGAAGAAGTGGAAAATGGGGAAATTGGTAGGCAGGTGTTGGGGAAGGGAGGGGGGGGGTCGTACTCACACCACCATTTCACACATCACGATGCTGTACCGTAGATGGAGAGCCGATGGCTTACTGTGAAAGGGAAAGGGTGCAGTTTTCAGCAAGTTTGAGCACTAGGGCACTTACATACTCTTACGACCCCGTCTCCTCCAGCGACCATATACGACCCCTGTGTTGGGTAATTCTAACGCAGGGGTCGTATATGGTCGCTGGAGTGGAAGGGGTCGTGGTTGGTCTTGCAAGAACATTTTCCTATAGTTTGTTTTTAGTTCTACATCTCCTATAGTTGGCGAGGCTACAAGCGTTTCTCCGATAGACGGTAGTAGCGAAAGAGGAAATTAGGGAGTCGTAATTTCCATTAGAGTGATGAAGTGGGTGCGTGAAGAGCGAGGCCTCCGAGGACCTGGGGGCGGTGGGGGGTCGGGGTGGGGGGGGTGGGGGGTGGGGTTGGTTGCTTGGGGGTGTGGTGGGGTGTCGCGGTGTGGATATAGGGCGGGTGATGGAGTGTCGAGGAGAGTGCGTAGGAAGTGAGTGCGAGTGGGGGTGTGAGATTCTGGATTGAAGGGCGAGAGCCGCGGTTGGAGCTGTGTGGTGTGGGGGTCGGGTTGGTTCTGGGGTACGCGGTGGGCGGTGTGGGGGGGCGGGACCCAGCCAATTGAGCCGGGGGCCACAGCTATAGCTCTGTGCTTGCCTTCAAGAGTAAATGGGTGAGGTAGTCAACTAGACCATTTGCTGTGTCTATAGGTGACAGCAAATGGACATATTGACCAGCCACATTTGCCTCACAACTTTCAAGGAACATTATCTTACCCGTAAATTCTTGATCTCAAGCGTGAAACAGCCGGGCAGACGGACGACGTCTGGTTTGATTCGAATCTGAACGAGCGGGATTGCATCTCTCAAGCACTGTGGTCCCTCGTTGCACCCAGGACGAGCCTAGAAATGACGAGGTGAAAAACTGCTGCAATATAAGTCTGTTACACTTATTGCACTACTGCGCTCACAGAAACGACTATGGGCGCATCGGCACCATCTGAGGGATCGAGACACGCAGGTGCACAAACTTAGTACCATGACGAGTAACTGAAGGCACCTTGCAGCGAAACTGCTAAAGAGGTATTCAGCTGCAAGGAGTTGCGATCACTGCGGATGATAGGGCGTGTCACGGTGGGACGGTGCCAAGCCCTCGCATGCTTACCGCCTGTTGTCAGAGCTTACCTGCTTCAACGACTGGTGGAATAATGTGCTGGAAACGCGCCAAACCTGACACTGACACGCCCCATCATCTGCAGCGAACAAGAATGTATATCTTTTGGATTTTACAGCATCAAAACATCACTCACGGCTATGCCAATTGTGCTTTCGAATTAAATAAATAAATAAATGAAACGAAGTCCAAATAAACTCACTGCATGAAGCGTCGGCCCGTCCTGGTATTCAACCACACATCTTGATAATTGCAGCTATTTTTCACCTTATGTCGTAGTGTGCTACGTTTTCCACCGGCTCTAAAAAGAACTGCTCAGTAGAATTAGTGAGGGTGGGACATTCAGAAGACACCTCGTGCAAAACTGGGATAGGATTTGTCTAGGTGTTGGAGGAAGGAGATCTGGCCTGGGTGAACCAAGTTTTTTTAATGCAGCGGTTCCGCATAGAATTCTAGCCTTACCGCCAGTTCGTCAACTCCTTAGCTGACTGGCCCCGAGCAAAGAAGTTGTTCCAAAGAAGTAGTTGTGAGGGCTTGCGCGGACCGCTGCGGCAACGATCAGGCAGAACCCCGCCCCAGCCAATGAGAGACGGCATTGGTGGACGAAGCAGCTGAAATTCCCAGGCCGCATTGGACCGCAACCACCCGTTGCCCAAGTTTATCTACACAAAACGAAACTACGAGCGATAATAACCTGAAGCTTACCTATATAATGCTCTACATTCTGGATCTAATATATCACAGTTCAGTTGGCAATGTACATAACAGATTAAAGCTGATAGGCCTAACAACCATTGCATCTGAAACTCAATCGATAATTCTTGATTAACAAACAATCGCTATAGATCGAAACGTTCAAAAAAAAACGCAGAGAATGTGTATATGCCACTATGGGCCTTTAGAGAGGGCAGTCTGCAGTTTCGCATCACTCCTTGGGTGCCTCTCTAGAAACCTACGATTTGGTGAGGGCGGGGGAAGAGTGCAGGGAGCCCGGTCGGGGTAAACTATATTGCATATCCCAGTTTCTTACAGATGGAGAAATGGCCCTTAAAATGGTTTGGCTACTATAGAGCTGACCCAAATCAGAGGACGTCTCCTCCCGAGGCACATAGCGCCGCCTATACTTCATAATGGGGAGTAAATGCAGACAATCATAAAAGACACAGAGAATCGAAATTGCAAGAATGCTTGGTGACGGCTGGGAGATCCACGTGAAGGCGAGGCGCAGGAATTAACAAGTATTTCCTAGTCAGTTGACTCAACATGCTGTAGCACTTTTGTGCCGCTAGCAATTGGCTCCTGGTGCAAGTGCCGTGGACGCGAGGTCGCGTCGTGAATTTCCTGCCCTGCACCCATGGTGTGTGTGGATTATGGTGCAATATTTCGGTGCTGAGAACGTGACACGTTAACATGAATAAAATAGAGAAAAAAGTTGGGAAAAGATAGCATATGGAACTGTTTTTTGGAACTTCTTGACGTTTATAGGGCGAATAAACGTTGCAAAGAAATGATGACAAAGCGTAGGATCACTCATGTGTACTATACTTTCATGTTATGGAATAGTGTAACTGGGGTAGTTTGACCCGTCTGCCTAGCCCCCTCACCAACCTTATCACGAGTATGACACCGTTTCGCAGTATGGTAATTCGCTGTGTTGGCGATCGGGGGCCACGAAACTTCCACCCTGTCGCTCAGCCATCAGTAAGAGCGTTCGAAGCGTTCTAGAAACATCGCGAAAGTCTTTTTAGACAACTGACGGCGCAAGCAGTGATGTAGCGAGGACTCAAAAACACTTTTTCCCGTAGCCCTGCAAGAAACGAGAAATTAAGCCTAGCTGGGATCCGGATCTGAGACCAACATTAAAACCGCAGTCAGTGAGCTATTGTCCTTCAATACACAATAAACTGGCCGGCCAGTTCGGCGACGGCGGGGGGGGGAGAGGGGGATGCACTCTTCGGTGCGCCTTCACTACTATCTGGTTTACAAGTTCTCATTTTGCAGTGGCCAAACTTGTGAACTTCCCGTGAAGCTAGAGCAAGCTCATCGAGCCACCATGGTAAAATGTGTCAACTCGAGAAAAGGCTCTCTAGATGGATGGATACGTCGATTGGAAGAAGCAAAGTGCAAAATGCGCCTCCTTCGTCGCCAAAACTGTTACCTTTAGACCTGGCACCAATCCCTTAGATAAGTTACTGAAAGCACAAAGAGAATCTTTCGGAATAAATTCTTTCCGGGATTAAAAACTGCCAAGGCGGTGGCAATGGGTGTGTGCGCTTGCGCTACATCCGGTAAAGTAAAAAAATCGACAAGGCTATAGCAAGATGGTAATGGCTTTAATCAACTGAGCAACCTGAAAAGCACCCCCCAGCCATTCAAAAATGGCTAGTTTGTGCTCGCACACAACACTCAGGTAACAAGGGTTTCTGAGTTAAAAGTGGAGAAAACCGTCTATAACCGTCACCCCTACAAAATGCCGAGTTCCTTAGGACCCCATGGCGAACTGAAAGCTCCGATCGTCGCGTGAAGCGACAGAGAGGGCGCTGTGCTGAGACGCAATCTTTCACTTGGTTGGGTGCCAACTCTTATCTCCTTTCACCTCACTCTCACACTGGATGTGGAGAGGCTTCCAGTACCGAATAACGCCATCATCACGGTAGCCACATTAAAGGCAGTTGGCACGATAAATTCCCGCAAGCGACGTATGATTAATACCCTGGCAGTACCGGAAATTCCAGCGACCCTGACTCGTATACCACCTGGTTTCAAGCGAAAGGTTCCTTATTAAGGCCCTATCCTACAACATATCGACCCGAACGCCCACCGCCCGCCCGCCCACAAATGGACGACCGTTCCTGACGCTCCGCTTCATTTGCTAACTAAAATATGAAGCGAAGGCATTGGTATGAAGCGGCTGCGGTGCTGCATGGATATATGAGTACATACATGCACCTGTACCTACCGTAGCGGTTATTGACAAGATGCCTACGGGAAACTCGTCCGAAATTGCTTTTCAAGAACGAAGGCTTTCCTTCGCAGTTTTCGACCGTTTCACTTCGTTTTTTCGCCATTTTCCTACTATATAGCGCTCTGCTAGCATTTTAGGCCGAGTACCAAATTATCGTGCCAACTGCCTTTAATAAGCAAAATACGAACTCCTTTCAAGTTCTTTCTGATGACGTAACTTCTCGTCTCGAACACGTCTTAAGGTCATGATGAGTGTAACGGGTGGATTGATCACTAAGAATATTTCACATTTGAAACTGGTTGTAGGTGCGATCAGGCGCCGTTCATTAGGAAAAAGGTGCCGGGAACGAGTTGTCCTATCGACAAAATGATGCAGCGAGAAGTCTTTCGAAAATTGGCAACATCTTTCTATACATCTCAATCTGGTCATCATCTAGGTACGAGTGTGGACGTGTCTGTACATCTGTCACAACGGCGTCGTGACACGCGTTGCAGCAACAAGAGCAAGAACGAGTAATACAGAGGATAGGGCGGTGTTAGGGCGATGACATGGATGATGGGTGATGGAATGGGTAAAAGTTGATAACTGACGTTCCCAAGGAGATTTCATGAGTTTCTTGACAATGAAGAAATTGCATTTATGTTCCGAGAGGTGGAACAGGGAACACAATATACACTATTTTCATTCGCTTTTGATTCGAGATTTTTATAGCGGTTTTGGTCACATTACATTGAAGGCAGCGTTCATTTTGATTTCCCGCACCCTCTCTGGATATTCAATAGCCTCTCCTATGATGAGGTAATGTACTAGTTTGCATCTTCAAAAAAGCGAGATGGATAGCGCGCTACTGAAGAATCGGCCGCCCCCGCCCACAGCTGGCCACATTAAGGCCTCTTATACGGGGCATTCTTCCATGATTTTTTCTTCTGCTTGTGTCACTACTTGATGGCCACTAAATGAACTCGTATAACTCCTTTTGAAAGCCGGCTCAGCCTTCAAAAGCTTAAGCAACAGCAGCCAGGTAGGCGGGCGCATCCTTCTTCACAAGGTGGGAGTGCTCCATTCCTCATCCGTACCTTACCTTTAAGCTGTAAATTAGCACATCCTCCACCTTTCGTTCGACACAAGTCTACATATCTATAGGAGGCGTGTGATACATCAAATGAACACGCCGGGCCCGCTACCTTTAAGTTCTGTTTTGTCTCTGTCTGTATGTTTTTGTTTTGTTTTTTTCATTATCACCACACAGGATTACCTATTTGATAAACAACTACAATTACTATGTATGTTAGGTGATAGTGAGGGATAACAAATCAAAACGGACCGGGCAAGGTGCTTTAAAAAAACACGTTGGTGCCAAAAACTTACAGCGCGGCCTAGCAGTTACATTTGTCCTAGAAGATGATGAAGTCTGGAACGCGAAAATAAATGGGGGATGATGGAAAAGAATAGCAAAGATAAACGGAGCCACCAAGCTATATATGTACACTCGTTTCCGTGAAATTGCTGAGGACTAACACGTGCAAGGGAACGCGTCCGAATAACTGAAGCGGGCAACAACAGGTGGTGGGAAACACAGCTGGGTCAGGACAAACCAACTTTTCTGACTCTCCAGCGTCCGGCAGTGAGCGCACGGTCATTGCGAGCGCACTAGACCTAAACGATCTGAAGGCTATCGAGAAAATGCACAGTGAAAACAGCAGATTCTGAAATTTAAGAGTTCTGAAGACGAGAAAACTTTTGACCAAGACGTCGCTGACGTCGCCCACCCTTAATGAAGAGAAATCTGTAGGCTGTATTCGATTGCTTTACAATAGCGCTACAAACCACGTGGCCTCACTTCAAAACACCGCAGCCTGCTATCATTTCCGATAAACAGTGGTCTTTGTTGTTTTGTTTTTCTTTATTTCTAATTATAAATGGAATAAAGACGTCAATGACACTTTTTCTGTGCCCTGAATTTGAAGTTTGACGCTAATTACATACATAGGAGCTGGCACATAAAGTATGTACTCCTTGTCCAGTACTAATCAGGGCACATCATTCGTTGGGGACTTTGATTCAGTCCGTACGACCCCCCCCCTCTAGGTACTAATGAAGATAAGGCTTTTTGGTCAAACCCGAAAGGAAGGGGCTTATCTTAGGGGTGAGTGAAACATTTCCAGGTCGTACAGCAATTCCATTCGAATCACGTTGTTACTGGTTTCTCACGAGGTTTCCTTTATAAGGCCCCACCCCATGGTTTGCGCGATACTTAGTATCCAGTCAACTGATTTGGAGCACATTCATTAAATCACAAATCGACAGGGAGTTTTGATCGGTTATGATCAATCAGAGCGGGAATCGGGTGGTAGGTCAAACAAGAGTTATCAATCAATAGATATTCGATCAATAGACGCACACCAAGGCTCCCGTAAAAGACTGGAAAAGAAGGCGGTTGTCAAGCCAGTTTCCATGATGAACTGACTATTGCTAATTAGGAACTGTTCACGGACGGGATTCCAAGGGCGATTTTCCATAAAGAGCGTATCGAATGGACTATCAGAACAATCAACGAGGAGGAAGATTCCATTCAATGGGATAAGGGCCGTATTTGTTTCGACGAGGGGGGAGGGGGTTGAACAATGCGAAAGGGAGACGAAAGAGGTGAAAAGGCAACGATTTCACGCTCTCCTTAGGTTGGAAAATCCCTTCGAGTGGAATTGGAAGACGAAAGAAGACGAAACGACAGAAGAAGGCTAAAGTTTGTCGTTTGGGAGAATTGGGTCGGTAGCTACTCGGCGCTTTGCTACATGTCTCGTGGGAGGACCAAGAGGAGCCCAGACGTGGTCACAC